AAAAAATATATAAATAGTGTATAATGCAATAGAAAACAAAGTTATTTAAATAATTCAGGAGACTACTAGTAAACTAGTTCATGGTTTCATTGTTTGCCAGTAATCGACCCACAGTATTAATAATAATGGTTATGCACTTTTGCAGGGGAGGGGGAGGGGATTGATGGAAATCAATCATAAATCAAACTAATAAAGCCATTTGCACTATAATTAGTATACTGATTATTATTTGTTGTAGGACACAATTGTCACAGTGTGCATTGATTAATAAGTAATTTACCCTGTCTCCTTTACTGAGTGTCACATTGGCTTCCGGGAAAGAGCACAGCTCACCGTCTGGTTTCTTGTGGCAATGCGGCCTGATACAAGGAGATGCAACTATCATCATTCAACAAAGTGATAGAACGATTGCAAAATACAACTAAATACTTACGAGAATTGTAAGTAAACAGGTTGGGAGTGATGAACAGTGGGCATGTAGGCATAATAGAAGCTGATGTACATCAAAATTGCAACCCACAGCAAGACAATAACAGTGCAACATGACAGGCAAACACGAACGACAGTGCCTCGAAACGCATTTCCTACCCCAAGGGTGGTATCCTTAAGGTAGAAGGCAGCTTCCACAAGCGCCATTTCGCCGGAATAAATCAAGAAATTACGGAAAGTCACATCTCCAACCTTCGTACCTTTCCTGTATTTTGATCTTGAAGGCGCGCAATGCATCTGCATTTCATTGATAGCGAACCAATCAGAATTCATTATCGATGACGATGGGATCCCTGTGGTGAACAATTCAAGATGGCGGACCCTCGTAGGGTTTTCGTCGTCGGAGTTGGAATGACAAAGTAAGAAATTTTCTAGTTCAAAATTTACTTCGATGTTTCCATAAACCAAATTATAATTAACTCTCCTATTTCAGGTTNAAATCAATCATAAATCAAACTAATAAAGCCATTTGCACTATAATTAGTATACTGATTATTATTTGTTGTAGGACACAATTGTCACAGTGTGCATTGATTAATAAGTAATTTACCCTGTCTCCTTTACTGAGTGTCACATTGGCTTCCGGGAAAGAGCACAGCTCACCRTCTGGTTTCTTGTGGCAATGCGGCCTGATACAAGGAGATGYARCTATCAKCATTCAACAAAGTGAKASAACGATTGCAAAATACAACTAAATACTTACGAGAATTGTAAGTAAACAGGTTGGGAGTGATGAACAGTGGGCATGTAGGCATAATAGAAGCTGATGTACATCAAAATTGCAACCCACAGCAAGACAATAACAGTGCAACATGACAGGCAAACACGAACGACAGTGCCTCGAAACGCATTTCCTACCCCAAGGGTGGTATCCTTAAGGTAGAAGGCAGCTTCTACAAGCGCCATTTCGCCGGAATAAATCAAGAAATTACTGAAAGTCACATCTCCAACCTTCGTACCTTTCCTGTATTTTGATCTTGCAGGCGCGCAATGCATCTGCATTTCATTGATAGCGAACCAATCAGAATTCATTATCGATGACGATGGGATCCCTGTGGTRAACAATTCAAGATGGCGGACGAACGAAGGGTGTTCGTCGTCGGAGTTGGAATGACAAAGTAAGAAATTTTCTAGTTCAAAATTTACTTCGATGTTTCCATAAACCAAATTATAATTAACTCTCCTATTTCAGGTTTGAAAAGCCGYTAACTAAAAAATGGGACTATCCCGGTAAGAACTGTTTTTCCCATTTTCTTGTAAGAACAAACTTTTATTTGTTTACATTGTTCAAAAACTTTAAGCTAATATATATTATATATAATATACCATTATATTTCTTTCTAGATATGGCCCGTGAAGCGGGAAATGCTGCACTGAATGATGCWGGCATTTCTTATAGCCTCGTTGATGCTGTTACAGCGAGCTACTGCTATGGGGAGCCCACGTCAGGTAGGATTGTTAGATATTTTGATCTGGAAGGGTGCAGGACTACCAAAGACTCTTGTGTACTATAACTCTCACTCCATTAGTCTGCCCTGACAATAGTTGCTAGCTAATCAGCACAAAACGTTTGCAGKGGCTGATCCAGGGTGGGTGCAGGGCGTGTGCCTCCCTTACTGAAATCTCTACCTAGTATCCTTCAATACTTTCCTTATTTTGTATCTTCATGGTAATGATTCTAATTGTGGGGTACACCCCCTCCTGAGAGCCCTGCACCACTCCCTGAGGTAAAAACTTGGATCTGCTTCTCGATGAAGTCAGTTGTTATTCAAAAATATAATAACTTCTTTTTTCCTCCTCACTTGACAACCAGGCCTTAATATACTTGTACTTTTTTCTTTTACAGGTCAGAGAGCTGTGTATGGTGAGTGTGAAAACAATCACTTTAACATTTGAGATTACTTAATGGCTAAATTATATTCAAAAGWCGACTACAAACATGAGGAGATGTGTTGGTGTAAAAGGTGATAAATACMRCCATGGTTGCCATGACACTGAAAACCAAGWATAGTCACGGGGRTCAGGGGAATGCTCATTGTAGTATTTAGGTGCATTAGCAATACCTTTTAGCAGTTTTCCTACTTTATGGGATTATCAGAACTTTAATAAGCATAATTATCTACAATCTTTTGTAATAGATTGACTATGGCTTTGAACAAGATATGAGGGCCCTGAAAGAATAGAGATTTCCATTATTAAAAAAATGCTGTTATGTTATGTGTTCTGTATTTCAGAGCTTGGTCTTACTGGTGTCCCTGTTTTCAATACAAATAACAACTGCTCATCAGCGTCATCTGCTTTAATGCTAGCCAAACTAATGGTTCAGAGTGGACAGTACCAATGTGTCTTAGCTATCGGTAAATCAATCTAGAACAAAAGAAGTTTATTTAGTGATTGTGTTTGAGCATTTTTATGTCTTCCCTCATCAATGTAAACAATATACATGTAGCCTATTTATTTTTAAGTATCTCTTTAATTGAATTTATTTTTTATTCCCTGGCTGTGTAATTTGTTTTCCAGCCCGCCTCCTTAGGGATACATTGGAAAGGATTTCCCTCATGGGAAAGGGAAGGGAAAATGACACTATCTTAGATATTGGATGCAATATATAAAATATGAGCAGGAGACCTTTATGGGCATATAAAACTGCGAGCTGGTTATAGCCCATAAAGGTCGGACGCAAATATTGTATATTGCTTATCAAATTCCAACATAGCATATTTCGAAAAAACTTCACTGAGATAAAATATTATTTGTAGGAGAAAAATTGAAGTTAAAGTCGTATGAAAATCAGGACAAATCTCTTGCTCATATAAAGATGTGGTCACAGCAATGATTTTCCATTGTTTACCTTATGAATTATTAATTTAATGAATGTAATAAAGTCTTGATATAAGTGTACATTCCTGGAACCCATTGTGCATAAAATTATTTGGCATTGCTGTAGGTTTTGAAAAGATGGAGAGAGGTCTTTCAGAAAGATTCACTGATCGTGCTTCCCCAGTAAAGAGACATGTTGATCACATGATTAACCTTGGAGCTGAMCCTGGCCTCGTTAATCCTAACCTCAATGCTATGACTTCAGATGTAATCAAGGTATATTATAGAGCTAGTGCTGCTGAAACTATCCAAATGCATTAAAAAAGTGTATCTGAAGTCTCATTAATTTTTTTTTTGCTAAAAGAGTAATTTCATTACATCTAAGATACACTTTGTGACTAATAGACTTCTGAACCTTTTTATATCACTACTTGATTTTCAATGCATTGTTGGTGCAGTTTCTCAAGAAAACAAAAGAAATCTGCCATGTTCTGTACGGTACATGTACGGTTCTGTTCGGTACATGATGTAAAAGCTCCAAAGGTCCATTGGACAAAGTTTTGCTAGTTAAGCAAAAGTAGACAAAAGAGCTTACAAGAAATGGTACTAATTTTAACAATTTTGTAAGCACATTTCACTCATATGCTTTACATAAGTATAATTGACTAATAATTGTGCTAATTACATTATTACAAAATCCACCTTTCTCAATATTTTCCAATTTTATTCAATTTGTCAGGAGTGATTGACAGACAGAAAGAATGCACTCTAATATTTCTAACGTRCTCTTACAGCTGTTTGCATATGCTGCTCGTGAACATACCCAGAAATATGGCACCACATTGGACCAGTATGCAAAGATAGCCTACAAGAACCACAAACAAGGCAAAAACAATCCATATGCATGCATACCTTATGAAATCCCATTGAAAAAGATTGCAGGAGCAAGAATGATATGCAATCCTATAACTTTACCAATGTCAACACCCACTGCTGATGGGTCAGCAGCTGCAATAGTGTGTTCTAAGGCATTTATGGAAGCACATGGTTTAGAGGTAAGGCATAAAAATATTCATTTGCATGTATTCCAACGAGAAAACAATGGATTGAGCCCAGGCAGGCCTGTATACATGAAGTCTGATGCCTTAATATCACTGGACCATTATGTCTTTTTTCAAATCTTCTTAATTCCCAAGTCCTCTGTTACCATAGAGAGCTATTAATCACACTGGCTTGCTTACCTTTAAGATGGGGCTTGGAACTGTAAAATGGAGTATTATTACCATCAGTAATTTTGTTTGGTTATTTGTTAACACTTTTAATCATGTTTAGGATAAAGCTGTAGAGGTAATTGCCCAACAAATGGTTACAGATATGCCATCTTCATTTGGTAGATCACATAGAGATTTATGTGGCTACGACATGGCAAAGAAAGCTGCACAGTTCTGCTATCGCATGTCTGGTTTAGGACCACAGGATGTTGATGTTGTTGAAGTGCATGACTGCTTCTCATGTAATGAGGTACTAGTAATAATCAAGAACTTACACTATTCTTTCATCATAAAACCCATTTTCCTGTTTTGCTTGCTCACAAATACAATAAAATAGCATTTGTAATTTTGTAAAAAGGAAGGTCACCTTGAAAGGTAGCCGTGCCTTTGCATCAGTGTGAGATAGCAATTGAGCATGCAATGATAGAAACCTGTTAAGTATTGTCTGTTGGCGCAAAATAAGGTTTCTATCATTGCACGCTCAACAGTTGTTTTGCTTTCATGGAAAGGCACAGATACCTTTCAAGATGGCACAGGGAACTGTGAAGGTGACTACATGTGCAATTTGTATTTTCATTCTATGCTTTCAATTTTGCTTCATAAGTTGTTCATGTATGAGGCACTTGGTCTGTGTGGTGAAGGATATGGTGGAAAGTTGATTGATGAGGCAGAATGGATAACCAATAAATCAGGTAAATGAACTCCTTTCTTCTAAAAAAAAATCTTTAACTATAGTTTCCATCATAGTTAACTATGTTTCCATGTAGTTGTTTTTTGGTTGTCTTTTGAAACCAGTGTCTAGTGAAACTGTGTTACATGATGATTGTCATATGGATCACATGACACACCTGATTTAACTGTACCACAGAAACCAGATATCAGTAATTTTGGGGACTAAAAAAAGCAAACTGTGGGACTCACAGTTAAGCACTGCCCTGCATCCAACCGAGCTTGGTTCTGCTTGCACAGCTCTAGTGTCACTCTCCTTGGAAAGAGAGAGAGAGAAAGAGAGATACTCACTAGAATGCAAATCGATATTATTATCAGACATTTATATAATAATAAGCATGGTGATCATTACTTTTTGTTTTGTGCAGGTAGTGAGTTGTGCAGACTTGGAAAAAGGTGGGTTGTAAATCCATCAGGAGGCCTGGAATCTAAAGGTATGCGAACACTGTGGGAGACTAGGGACAGCTAAGCTTTACCAATTGCATTCACTGTTACGAACTAAAACAATACTATTGCAGGTCATCCAATTGGAGCAACAGGTCTTGCACAGTGTGCTGAACTAAACTGGCAGGTAACATAGAGCTTAAGCTATTTCATTTCACAAAACAAAAGAGTTAAAGAATAGAGCAACAACTGCAAGGGCGGATCCAGGGAGGGGCAAATGGGGGCTGTAGCCCTCCTCTGAGCAGAAAAAGTAAATTGATTTTTATTATTTTCAATGTTGTTTATAACAAATAAAGCCCATTTAGACCCCTAAAACCATATAGCCCCCCCTTAAAATTTCAGCTGGATCCGCCCTTGAACTGTTAAGTAGTACAAGTTTGTACCATATTTAAAACATACAAAGAAAGAATAGCACAAAACAAACAATATCACGAGCGCGCGCTGGTTGGTTGGGATTAAGCGGTCACCCCTATGGAAACACTTTGGGACAGATCAGTTGAGTGCTCAGTTGAGAGATCAAATTTACAGTGTATAACAAATGATCAATAAATTTATGTGACTGCTTAAGATTGAAGTCTTTGCGAGTACGTGCATGAAAAATAAGAAATATTTTGTATATTGCTTTATAATGAAATGAATAAAGAATGTTTCAATGTTGAAAAAAGTCTTTAATACTTTTGCCTGCGTTTGTTGCAGTTGCGCGGAGAAGCGGGAAAGCGACAAGTCGATGGAGCAAGAGTTGGATTACAGCACAACTTTGGGATCGGTGGAGCAGCGGTTGTTACAATGTATCAAACCTATAAACCAAAACCTCAAACTGCCAAGCTATAACTGGATTTCCCGCCTATTTACGGGATACAGGTGGTACTATATAGAAGGGTCTCTGTAGAGATTCTCCCTAAATTTGATTCTTAGAAGAAGCAGTTGTTACAATGTATCAAACCTATAAATCAAAACCTCAAACTGCCAAGCTATAACTGGATTTCCCGCCCTGTTTACACGAGACAGGTGGCACTATATAGAAGAGTCTGTGGAAATTCTCCCAAAATTTGATTCTTTTGATTAAAATCACTCTATACCTATCTGACAAGGACATCCACTTTGTCATGTGCAGCATAGAACCTACCACTGGCAACGAACTCCATTTCAAGAAATGAAAGCGTTTCGGAAAGAACGGCGTGGACTAATCACTTTGAACAGTGATTGCACCAACAAAAGTAGCTATTCTAACTGATTGCTGAATAAGCTGTATAAAGGACATACTGTAGTAACTAATATTGTTCATATAAATCAAAAGTACCTAGGCTTTGGATAATACGATGCTTTTGAATCTATTCAAATATGACCTGGAATAACAGTCTTGAAATATATTTTACGCCTTAAAAAACTAAAAAGAAATGAATGAATGAATCAAACAAAACAGCGTTGAAAGTTACCATATACTCACAAGTAATTAAAAAAACTATCGACATACTGTATTAGCAAAAGATATCCAATTAGGATAAAACAATGACCAAAAATAACGCCCAAATAACCATCCTTCCCACGTAATGTCAAGTATTTCAAACATCAAAGGTCAGTAAATACAAATTGGTATATAAATCAATAAATCTATTTTCAAACATGAGTCGTTGACTTGTTGCTAACCTGGTGTGCTTTAAGTGTTAATCGCCTTTAGTATGTCACTGGCTCGCTTTCAACTGTCATTCCGTTTTTGGCGCGAATACGTGCATCTTTGCATCGCCGCCTTGTTGAATCCTTAAAAAACAACACGACAACGTAAAATCATATAAAGAAGCAGGGAATATCGTGAAATAAAGCTAAATGTAACTAAGGGAATTAACAGTTTCAGATTCTGTGCCTTATAGCCAAATATACTTATTAAAGTGAAGAACTTATCAAGGAAAGGGTGCCATGATTTGCGACAACTTTATTCACGGGAGGGGGGGGAGAATTTTTTGGGTCATTCAGCCCCCCTCTCCTGGTAAATATTGCGCAGTCCCTAGTAAATGACATATATGCCTGTATATATAGGACTATTATCTAGAGCAATTCGCGGCAATGGATTGCTCTCGCAGACTATACCCATTTATCAAAAAAAGAAAAACAGTTTTCACAAACTCATCTGCGTAAGCCAACATTTGATATTTTGGTTGACTAAGCACAAAAGGATTGGAGACGAGGGTCAGAAGAAACAATAGACGATTCCTTTTGTTTCACTGGAGCCTCGTCCTATGTCTTTTGCGTATGATCGACAAAACCAGAATATTGAAAATTAGATATTCTATTTTATATTCCTACAATTTCTAAGTTAATTCATGGCTGTTGCCAGATAGAGATATGGATTATTTTCTGGTTAATGCTCTGGTTCGATAAACAAAGAAAATTCTAGAATAGCTAATTGGTTGACCYTGCCTCTTGTACTGATAGTGCAAATTGCTCACATTTTCCCGCCAAATGACGAAATGAAGGCGCGCCATACCAGAGGACCTAACCTTACTACTGTCTTATTAAGATGCCATCAGAGGAGATAGTATCTATCATGATTATATGGGCTACTCCAGGGTGTAACATGACCTGATGCTCTCAAAATTCGAACTACTGTAATTTCCAGGCAGCTTGACCAATCACGCTTCGGCTGGTAGTGATCCCGGTTGACTTTCAGATTATTACGGACCTGCGAACAATACATTTGAAGTTATTTACGACTTTCCATACTTAGGTTAAGTGACCATCAAATAAACATTGAACCGATACGCCAAGTTGCTTTGAAAATATCTGCGCTCTGTTTTCCTGGTGTTTCAGCATTTTTTTATCAATGAGCCTGGTCTGGAATATCATGAATTACTATTCTGACACGATCTCATTGGCGGTTCCAGGGTTTTTAAAAAGTGGTCTCAATATTTTTTTTACATTTTCTCATTACGATTATTATTGAATGCTTATAAAATATACTGCAGCGACGTCTCATAGAAACATAACATAACTCGATAGAAATTCATTTTATTTGATGCTCGAGCCAAGGGTTTCGTGGAACCCACGGATACCCCTTTAGATCCACCATGGGGTCAGATTGATGGAAAACTAGCGACTTCATGCTAAGCGCGTTTGTCTAAATTTACTAATCAAAACTGGCCCCGTGTCCAGAATAACTATTTCAAAAGCTTAGTCGTCGAGACTCGCCTTAATGGGGCTGGACGCAAAGATTGACCCGGCCGTTAAATCCAGCTATCAAGAGATGGAAATGCCTCATATGATATTATCTTGTCGTGTAGACTTTAGACTTTATCCGAGCTACCATAGTCGTATTAAAACTGCTTTTTTTGAATTCCGAAGATGTTTTTGCAGAGTGGCTGGTTTTCGGAAATGTTACGGGAATCCCGCGAGTTCTTGCGGTTTGTTTATATTCTCGTCATTGCCTGCATTTCAGGACATATACGGCATGCTGAGGTTGAAACCTAAACATCTCTGTAATAAAAATTAAATGAGATTCTCGATTGATCTGCACTTAAAAAATCTCAAGCAACTGAAAAAGCCCGGATCCTATTGAGTAATCCCGACCCCCATGGCATAATTAAGCGAGAGCATAAACATAAGGGATGATTAAAAGGCTATGAAAATTCATAGGTATGTCATTACTAGAACCGCATGAGCATGCATCAATTAAGTTTCTTGTTCCTGTGGTTATGTTACTATATTTTCAATTGGGAAAACGTGCTTATCCCCGACATCCTTGTGACTTTGCTGCTGTGAGGATCAAGGCTCCAGYCGAGTTTTGGGGACCAAGTCCGGTCACTTCTTTGTTAGCAGACTGTATGTATTCCTGTTGGTAATAACAGCAAACGTGTTCCTTAACAGTTATCCAAGTTTGTCCCGCGACATTTTTGCCGGGCATCGTTTATAGACCCCTTGCAGTTCATGGGAATGCAGCTCCAACTGGAGGACAAAACAATGGATTCTASTTCCCAAGAGGATAAAAATCTTTTGTTTTGTCCTCCAGATGAAGCTGCTTTGACGTCACATGCAAGGGGTCTATAGTCAACTCTCGCCTTACGGACATCCCGCTACAACGGACACCTCGATATTACGGACAATGAAATACTCGATCCCAGCGAAAAATACAAAGAAATGACTGATAGGGTAAATCTCGTTACTATACGGACTCTCGCTACTGCGGACACTAAATTACGGTCTCGAAGGTGTCCGTAATAGCAAGAGTTCACTGTAATTGTTTTATTGCAACAAATTTGACAGGAAGTCCTGTGCCACGCCCGTTACTACTGCTCCCAGGTGCTGCTTGGACTATTTCTTGTGAGAATGTTTGATTGTAAAGCTTTTTTTCCGTTCAAAGTCAGCCCCGAAAATACTACAAAAGAATCGATATAGGATTAATTGAATGAAAAACTGAACAAGTAAATTAACTGATAATCGGTTTATGTGGAGTATGGACGAGATGAGCGCCGCTGCCACGTAATTCTAGCGAGTGGTGTTGCCTTATACATTTTGCGCGAAAAAATGTTTATGAAAATTGAAATGTATCCTTTCGATTCGTTGTTCCAAACATCCGGACATTAGTTTCACTAACACAAACATCAAGAAACGAAATACCCTTCAATGAAACAAACGGAAATCTCGCTGTTTTAGACGCAGGATCAACCACATGACCGGGCAAAAGTCCTGTGGAGGAAATAACCAGTTGAACTATCAAGTTCCTGAAAATTGATTCATTCATCGATAAAAATAAATCACTGAAAAGGTTAGTGTTCGTTAGGTTTACATGGGATGGGTTCTCATCCGGAAAAGAAGCCACAGTTATTTTTTTGTCCACTTTCTAATTGACCGCTTAGGTGTGGTCTTATGCTCTGCCAAAAGCGGTATATTTCTAAGATTTAAAGAAGTTAAATTATTTAATTTATAAGTTATTAAAGCTTTCTGGGTTAATATTATTCAACGTTCGTTTCAGGGGAGAATAACATGTTGCAATAATCACGAGGTATATAGCAAGCAGTTGTTTATATCAAAAAGCCATCAGACATACGCCTCTATTACGTCATATTTATGTCATAAGASYCTCACAAGGCTAAAGGTTGTRGAAGGTCAGTCTGAAGCTGTCAATCACCCATTTARAAATGCCTCACATCATGTCTATTTAAACAACCCGTTTTGAACACTTGAAAACCACTTTGAACACTATCAACATGAGAACAATTCTCCCCTTACAGAACTACAGTGAATCMGAAGCGGTTGCGGCTCAACAGCCAAGCAWACTCGCCCGTAAAGAAAACATGCTAGAGCAGTACGACTTTCTTGAAGTACTTGGAGAAGGTTCGTTTGCTAAAGTATTCAAATGCATAGAAAAAGAGAGTAAACGCATCTTTGCAGCCAAGGAGTTGGAGTTCAACGGCGATAAAAACTACCAGACTCTTATAGAGCATGAAGTTGAAATCTTGCAAGGTCTGCGACACGAGAATATTGTTTCTCTTCATACGTCGTTCTCATCCGAGAGTTCTTTCTATTTGATCATGGAATTCGTTGACGGAGGAAGTCTGTTCGATGAAGTAATAGGCGAAGCTGTCTTTAGCGAGAAGCAAGCATGTCGTCTCATCAAACAGGTACGTAAATCATGTCCCATGGTTCTAAATAAGAAGAAAAAAATGCCTTATACAATTTTCTTGTTTAGAATAGTAACAGTCACTGATTAAGACCTGTTTAAAAGCCCTAAAACACTTCTGAAAAATGCGTGTAAAACGCTAAATGTGACAGGTCGCGACTAGATATCGTCCTAACTGTAATTGTTTATAGTTAGTCGCTATTAAATTTTTTTCGCGCGCTAAGATGCTTTCAAGCTAGGTGGCTAAACATAGACTAATATTGGGGATACATGTTATAGCTCGCAGCATGAATCCTAGTTAATCGTGATATATAGTAGATATCAACTATTAAGCTTTTAGAGTGCACGTCATATAAGCATGAAACAATTCTTAACCAATTAGCGCCTAATAAGATTTAGTTATCAACTAACTAAGAATTTAGTGAGGCATAAACAAAGACAAGTTTCCTTTCTGGCATTGTGTTCATGCCGCAGTGAATTCTTAGTTAGTTGATAACTAAATCTTATTAGGCGCTAWTTAGTTAAGAATTGTTTCATGCTTATGTGACGTGCACTCTATCCCATTTATACAGATTTTTTTTTACTGTAGCCTCTTCCAGAGCTGCTTTCTAATTTTCTTTCAATTCAAAAGTACATTTCAAAGCAATTCGGCATCATTGTTGTTATGAAACTGAATTTTGGCGGCCGCAGCTTCGCAATGACTAAGACCTAAGCGGTTTTGTCCTTTTTTTAGAAACATCGTAATGCATTTAATCCGTTCAATCCCAAAAGGGAAATTGCTGATACCTATAGCAGTGATAAATATGTCAACGTTAAAATCTAAACTAAAACTCATGAAAGCGATGAGTTTTTTTGCTTCGTACAGTCAAGTTCAATGAATATTTCAATTTTAGACTGAAAGATGTTTGACGATATTTCGAATCAGTACTTCACGTCGAACGGAATTACGGCATAGGTGAAGAACAAACAAGATAAACACAGTACAGTTAATATATTTAAGATCGTGATCGCGTTTTTTTCTCTGTTCCAGTGTTAAATGAGTCATCAGTTGTGATTGTATTTTGTAACAAACCGTGTTTTCATCAGACGTTTTACCTTTGACTCTGTTGACATGATTTTGACGTCATGGACGACCTTGAAACACAAGACAACATCCTGTCCCGTTTAACAGTCAACATGGCCAACGCCATGGCAATTAATTTGGTTGATTAATAATACTAATGAAACAGATTTTGACATGAGTAATTAGCCGAAAAAAATGCGCACATCCTCTGAAACAACACAGAGGCTCTTTCTCTCTTTAGTTGATTAGGAAGGAGCCCCCCTCCTCTTCACTTTATCATCAAAAATTCTTATTGAGCAGAAATATATACTAGTAAGCTACTAAAAGAGTAATAAAAAAGCACTAAAAAAGAGTTATAAAATTTGGATGCTTGAGCAATCTGGAAAAACAATTTAACCACAGCTATCCCAAGATTATATCTTGTCCGCTTTGCTCTGAGTGCGAGCTTCAATGTATTTTATTTAGATTTGCCACTTATATTGAAATTTTCGTTTTCTCTATAAAACATTCAAATCAAAGCGGGCAAATGCTGAGCTTAGACTGCCTGTAATATCACACTTATTTTCTCTCTCAGAGATAATATGGAAATGTGTTATCTTTACAATGACGTTATAATTAGGCAATGTACTCACCATACTGTTGTAACTGTTGACAGGTTTTGCAGGCGCTGGAATACCTCCATAATCAAAGAATCGTACACCGAGACATCAAACCCGACAACCTTTTGCTCCAGCGATCAAAAAACGGAGATGACGTCACTGTTAAAATTACCGACTTCGGATTAGCCCGAAGACTTCCCGACGGTAATGAAACTTTGCGCTGTGATCCGAGTGGTGCACCGATGTTTTTGGCGCCGGAAACGATTCTCGAAGAGCCCGTTGGCTGTCCGGTGGATATGTGGGCAACGGGTGTCATTCTCTACTTGATGCTTGTTGGTTATCCGCCTTTCTGGAGYAGCAGCGATGAATTCTTGTTATTATCAATATTAGAAGGTCGTTATTCMATGCCATCACCTTACTGGGATAACATCAAAGCACCTACGAAAGAACTTGTTCACAAACTAATTGTCCAGAAGCCTGAGCAGAGACTGACAGCTAGCCAGGCTCTTGCACACCCAGCACTCTCAGATAGGGCTCTGGGAAGGAAAATATCTGTTGAAAGAGAAACCAACAGGAATTTCTTAGCTGTTGCTTGCGGCATTAGGGCAATGGTGAAGTTCAAGAGACTTAATGTTAAAAGCGTTAATCGAAGACTATCTGAAAGAGGAGCAGATTTAAAGTCTCCAGTTCATATAAAAGTATAATAATTCATGTACATAGACTAAGATTTTGGTTGTAATTATTTATATTTTACAAAATATATTTAAAAATATATAAGCTGAATACGAAAAAATAAACGTATCGAAAATTGAAGACTACAATTAAGTTGCACACGTACCTTTTTACAAAGCACTTGAACGTTTTACAATGTACTTGCGCTTTTTGTACGGGGTTTGCGATGAAACCACAAGGATACTTCATCCGTTTGCATTTCAGTGGCTAATCAAAGTTTAAAAAGAGAAGAGAAATTACCCAGTGTAGCAACCAAATGTGTATTTTCTTCAGATTAATATCCCAGTCCAGAGAATGGTCACGTCTAAAAAGAGAGGGAATGAGGGGATTATTTAGAGTTATTTTCAATACTAAATGTGGAATATGTAATGATTACAAGCAACCTCGTTGATTAGGTATAACTGACTTTATGACGAGAAAAACATCGCAAAAAAAATCGCACCAACCTTCTTTCCAGACTCCCCGTACACCATGGGAAGTAACGTTACGTAGTCTACATGTACGTCTCTTAATTACTATGTCGAGTGGGATCCCTGTGTACGAGTGGGATCCCTGTGTACTCATTTTACGACGAGCATGCTCATTAACATGCAAATTAGCCATGTGTAAAATGATGAACTGCCTAATCTTCATAACAGATAGATTAGCAACMTGCATGGAAAAWTACTGGAATTGTATTCTGGACAATATTTGAGAAGGTAAGAACAAGAACTGTATTCAAGGCAGTTCTCAGTGAAGTACTGAACAAGTGGGCATTGATTATCGGTTTAAAATACAAGAGACTAGTTTTTCAGTAGTTGTCAGATGAGTTAATAATACTATAAAAAGGTGAAATAAAATACTGACATTTTTGAGATTAATCCTTTTAGTAAAAGACAGAGTAAAGAAAGCCAGCAAGTTATTCACCTACTTTTTACAGTACTAAAATTCATCTTATWAGACATGAACTGTTTCTTTAGAAACACTAATGCAGCTCATCGTACTACTGTAGTTTACTGCTTGTTTTCCTCATTTTACACTCAAGTGTAGTAGTAGAGTCAAAKCACTTAACCCCTGAATCTCAAATAGTACTAAACTATACTAATTCCTTTGTTTTCTGATGTCTAATCAACACCATTTTTAAATGATTAGCAACATTTGTCTCAAGGATTTAGTGCATCTGCTCTAATCTCTTGAAATTTTGTAAAATTTTGTAACTTTTCAACTCAATGGCATTAGGATTTTGATGAACTACCTTTGGTGAACTAACAGGTACAGTATAACTGAAAAATGGACTCTTGATTGTATTCACAAAAYTCATGTCAATATATCCTATAAAGCAACASAATTCTACAGAGATGGAAATTGTTTATTGAATCATTTATTGTCTCTCTTGAGGCTTATCAAACACATAAGTGAGACAACACTTTCCACAGTACTGCCTGTCAAAATGACTGGCCATAAACACACCAGCACCACATGCCGCTGGACACTCTCGGCGAAGACGGGTTATTTTGCCATTTTCATCTACTTTGTAGTATTTTAGAACAGCTAACTTGACCTGAAAATAATTATTAATACATATTAATTGCTTTATTTTCTGTTTAAACAATGGTTTATTAACAGWTGAATTGAGAGCATTAAGCTGTGTTAGTTTCCTGCATAAACTGGATGGTTAGAGAAACAAATCAATGCCCAAGATCCCAGTTTGGGGGCGACAATGAAAAACAACTATCATAGTAAATCCCCAAGATTCTAACTGCTCTATAATTTTTATTATTATACAAGAAAATTTTCTGAAGCTTGAGCTGTACACGCTGATATTTCCACTGTTTGGGTGGGAACTATTGTCACAATTAGAGCATATAAACATTTGTTGGATAATAATGCCTAATATACACTACACAATAATCCAGTTTCGAATTCTCCAATGCTCTGTGTTAGCCTCATTTGCGCGCAAATATTCCTAATTGTGAGAATAAAAGTGTGAGATTTCAAATCAATTCTATTGTCTTTCTTTTCAAATTCCATGCGTTTTCTTGGGCTATCAATGAAACAAAAGAATATATTGCTTGGCTTTGAGGCTAACACAGAGCAAACAAGAAATCGAAATCGGAGTATTCAGCACAACACAGTTATACCGTTAGAGTGCTTATTCCAGCTGCAGCATAGAAAAGTCATGTCAAAAATAATGTCAACAATACTCCATTTTTGAATTCAAAACGAAAAACTGTTTTATTTGACAGCAGATTGTCATATGCAAAGAACACAAAAAAGCATAAGAAAATGTTTATAGTACAATAGCGCTACCAATTTACAATTTTCCTGAGTTAAGGCTAACCCTGTATTTTCAGAAGGTTCATAACTTAGGTCTTATGGAAATACAGGGCTAGTTTCGACTCGCAAATTTGCAAATGCAAATTTTCAAGGCTATTGTAACAACATTTTCTTGTGCTTTCTTCTATGTTTGGTCATGTCTTTGTGCAAGAGATTATGTTCTCAAATAAATCAGTGTTTTTTTTGCTATAAAATTGAAACTGGRGTATTCAATAATTCAAGGAATTCACAGAATAGCACAAATGCTGATAATAACTATTCCATGCATAAGCAATATTGACACCTTCATTGCGAGAAAAGTATTAAAATACAAACCTTCTTCTTCTTGTGTTTGATCTTTTTTGGGGTGGTATAATTCTTCTTCTTACGTTTCTTTGCACCMCCTCTAAGTCTGAGCACAAGATGTAGAGTGGATTCTTTCTGAATGTTATAATCACTCAGTGTTCGTCCATCTTCAAGTTGTTTTCCAGCAAAAATGAGACGCTGTTGGTCTGGTGGGATACCTGCGAAAATGTTTTGAAAAAAAACATGTTAAGTTTGTTGCACTGTTATATTGCTTCAATACAAAGGCAGTTATCTACCAAGATAGCACTAAGAACTGTAAAATTGAGTATTTTTGAAGCTGAAAAAAGTGAATCAAGGGTTTGTTGAGGTAAATCAACTTTACTACAGTCTACTAAAACCTTAAAGATTTCATTTTCACAATGTTTGACGCAAAAAAAAACATACCAACAAATGTATGTCTAGACATTACACATAAACCTATTTATATCAAAATATTCTCAACATAGTTAATCTTTTCTTTTAAAAAAAACTCGTTTATGTACATGTATTGAAAAGTTTCTACATGTATGAATATTTTTTCTACAATTTAGAATACATGGATTGTGGTGGGCATGAAATACTTCCGTCAATGTAAGACAATAAAATATTAGCCTAGAACTAGAACTAAATTATGTTGGTCTAAAGCTACAACTTCCTCGATTTAGTAGTTGATTCATAAAACATTTTCTTTATAAAACATATTTTACAACAAAGAAAGTTCTTGGGATTTCCTATATTTATTAAGGCGATAAGTTCTTCAACATTACCTTCTTTGTCTTGGATTTTAGCTTTTACATTTTCGATGGTATCACTGGGTTCCACCTACAAGATTAATAGCTCTTAGACACGAAAAACCAACACATTATTAACTAAAATTACGATATTCTAAAGCAAACCACGTGTAGAAGAAATGACTTACCTCGAGGGTGATGGTTTTGCCCGTCAAAGTCTTCACGAAAATCTGCATCGTTCGGGCTCAAATTCACCTAAAATATAGATCAATAAACAAAGTTTCATTTACTTGATTCAAATATTAGCAAACATGAGAGTGAGCTTCAATAAAATAGACATTTTTCTTACAGCATAGACACTGTACCAAGATGGCGGAGCCACGAGAAAGAGGGCGATCTGTGGGGTAGTCCGTCATTATGCAGGGCCACAACCGCTGACTTATAATATTGCTGTCTCATGTGTTAAAGTTGGACTGGACTGAAGTGCTCCGTTTTATCCACTTCACGGATTTTGACTGGCGTAATATAATACAAATTTCACCACGGATTCTCCGTTACATTGTATGTGTATGCTCGAAGGACAGTCTTAATCCAGAATTATACAATTTGCATTTTCTCTGAAATCTGTGTGTTGCAAAAGAGCTTGAGCGAAAACACAGGAAAACCATGAAATAAAACCAAACTAAATACTAATAAATAGCGGCTATTTAGAGACAATTTGTCAATTAACCAATCAAGATATATCCACATGAGACCGTTTTTAATTCATCTTGATTGCGTTCTGATTCATTGATACTGACAAATTACTAGTATAAATAGCCGCTATTTGTTATATTTAGTTTGGTTTTATTTCATGGTTTTCGGTATTCCTGCGTTTGCTCTAGTCCATTTGTAAATATAATGCAAGTTCGGAGAAAATGATTTCTTTTGTTTTAGTGAGTTTATTACGTAAGAGAACCTTTTGCCCTCTTAAGGTGGCTTCGTATAGCTACCATGATCACCTCGGATTCTTTAGTCTTCCGAGGGATGTTTACAAGCGAACATCCCTCCCTCATGAATTGCATGARGGACGATTACTAGTAATCGTCCCTCATGCATAATAACATGAGGGACGATTACCAGTAATCGTCCCTCATGTTATTCATGAGGAACGGGAGGCAAAGGAAACCTTTGCTTCCCAGCAGGGACAACTGAATGTCCCTACAGCTGTCTTCTTTTTACCTCTGCAATGAACGGTCTGGTTATCGTCTCAGTCACACTGAAATGTGGGATGATTTTTGGGCCAATTTGACCGAGTAGCTCTGGTTTCGAGTCTCTACTTCGTACCGATGAGCATGTGCACTTGACGAATTTCAATGTTTGATAATAGTTGATAAGCTTCTTGGCATTATACTTGCAAATATAAAAACAACTTTTCGGGGTTGAAGTTAAGGTTCGTTAACTTCAGCATTGAATAGAACTGAAAAGCAATTTCAAACAAAGTTCGTTGTGGGAAATCAGTAACAATGGTCGGATTATCAATATCATTTTGTACTGTTGTTCGGCGAGTGATACTCTTAGAACAGTGCGTATCNCCTCTAAGTCTGAGCACAAGATGTAGAGTGGATTCTTTCTGAATGTTATAATCACTCAGTGTTCGTCCATCTTCAAGTTGTTTTCCAGCAAAAATGAGACGCTGTTGGTCTGGTGGGATACCTGTGAAAAAGTTTTGAAAAAAAACATGTTAAGTTTGTTGCACCGTTATATATTGCTTCAATATATCAGTCAATATATCTTCAGTTATCTAACAAGGTAGCACTAAGAACTGCAAAATTGAGTATTTTTGAAGCTGACAAAAGAGAATCAAGGATTTGTTGAGGTAAATCAACTTTAATGCAGTCTACTAAAATCTTAAAGATTTCATTTACTACAATTTAGAATACATGGATTGTGGTGGGCATGAAATACTTCCGTCAATGTAAGACAATAAAATATTAGCCTAGAACTAGAACTAAATTATGTTGGTCTAAAGCTACARCTTCCTCGATTTAGTAGTTGATTCATAAAACATTTTCTTTATAAAACTCATTTTACAACAAAGAAAGTTCTTGGGATTTCCTATATTTATTAAGGCGATAAGTTCTTCAACATTACCTTCTTTGTCTTGGATTTTAGCTTTTACATTTTCGATGGTATCACTGGGTTCCACCTACAAGATTAATAGCTCTTAGACACGAAAAACCAACACATTATTAACTAAAATTACGATATTCTAAAGCAAACCACGTGTAGAAGAAATGACTTACCTCGAGGGTGATGGTTTTGCCCGTCAAAGTCTTCACGAAAATCTGCATCGTTCGGGCTCAAATTCACCTAAAATACAGATCAATAAACAAAGTTTCATTTCCTTGATTCCAATTTTAGCAAACATGACAGTGAGCTTTAATAAAATAGACATTTTTCTTACAGCATATACACTGACCAAGATGGCGGAGCCACGAGAAAGAGGACGATCTTTGGGGTAGTCCGTCATTATGCAGGGCCACAACCGCTGACTTATAATATTGCTGTCTCATGTAAATATTCAAATTGGACTGGACTGAAGTGCTCCGTTTTATCCACTTCACGGAGTTTGACTGGCGTAATATAATACAAATTTCACCACGGAATTTTTTGTCAGTATTCTATGTTGTATTGTATGTGTATGCTCGAAGGACAGTCTTAATCCAGAATAATACAATTTTCATTTTCTCTGAAATCTGTGTGTTGCAAAAGAGCTTGAGCGTTAAAGAGAATACAGGAAAGCCATGAAATAAAACCAAACTAAATACTAACAAATAGCGGCTATTTAGAGACAATTCGTCAATTAAGCGGCAGAACACAATCAAGATATATCCACACGAGACCGTTTTTAATTCATCTTTATTGCGTTCTGATTCATTGATACTGACAAATTATCTCTTACTAGTATAAATTATAGCCGCTATTTGTTAGTATTTAGTTTGGTTTTATTTCATGGTTTTCGGTATTCCTGCGTTTGCTCTAGGCCATTTGTAAATATAATGAAAGTTCGGAGAAAATGATTTCTTTTGTTTTAGTGAGTTTATTACGTAAGAGAACCTATTGCCCTCTTAAGGTGGCTTTGTAATATATACAATATGAGCGGGCGATCTGTATGAGTATTTAAAACAGCGAGCTGAAAGCGAGCTGTTTTAAACCTCATACAGATCGCCCGCGAATATTGTATATTACTTATGAAACGTTGAGGTAAACTAGCTCAGGTTTTAAAGAAACTTTTGAAAAAAAATATCAATCTGACCGAGAAAATCAGAGTTAAAGTTTATGCAAATGAACAAGAAATCTGTATGTAATATACAACTCTCTTCATGGGCTATGATTTCTATTGTGTTTTGCCTTATGAATATTAATGAGTTTTATAAGTATAGTTAATTTGCTAATATGCAAAAATCATATCAATAAAATATTTATTGTCAATATTACTCGAAATCGAACAGATGAATTTTTTTTCAACTATTCCAAAACGTTGTGCAATAGTTTGAAGTTAATGATGATGACCACCGCTTTTCTGGATCTCATCAATTTTTTGAGATATTTGGCAAAAACGGATTTCGACAAAATGCAATTTCCGTTGCCTAGGCCATAACGTTAATGGAGCTAAACATCATGCCAAACAAAACTTCAATGCTTTATTACTGGTCCAAACACCAAATAAACCGGTGTATGGAAAGATTTTCAAAAAGCGAATTTAAAAGGAGGTATGATCGAAAAAACTATAAGAAGCCACCTTAAACGGCGGTTTATTTGAAATGGAAAAATTTAACTTCATGAATTATATGAGGAAGCACCTGATCCCATTAAAAGGTGCTCAATTCACTCATGTAGTGCAGAGAAAGTGTGTATATAAACAAGCACGAAACTCGGAGTAACAGCAAATCTTGCCTCTTCGTTATTATATATACACACCTTCTTGCGAAAACGTTGTCATAAAAAAATAGGACATTTGTATTTTAGCAAAAAAGAATAAATCAAAAAGACAAAAGAAGATCACTGAGGCTGAACGCTCTCTTTTGTTTTGTTTTAATTTATTCCTTTTTTACTAAATTCGAATGTTCTATTTTCTATGACAACGTTTCTGCAAGTAGGTGTATATCTAAATCTGAATTATCGATAATTATATAGAATATAACTACTGATTTTGTAAAATTTTGTTAACAGTGACGATTGTAGTYTTATAATGCGAAGTTGACAAAGATAAATTCTACACTTCATATTCATCTTTACATTAAATTCTACACTGTTAGGCCCGCACTATACGCCAAATCGTTACATGTACCGAATACAATTCACGAATTAAATGCATGTGAGATGCGACGTATAAATCAATCAAATTCGACAGTATTGGATTAAATACGACTTCAGTCGAATCAGCGACTTAAAAGTCGAAGATACGGCAATGGTGCGGCAGTTGATTTATACGCCGTATCTCACATGTTCCAAATGCAATACATACATTATTTTTCAATTCTTTTTTTGTGTGTGTGAATGTTTTTTTTTTTCGGTTTGAAGAAGAAGATAAATAATGAACATAAWATGGTAATGGAAAGGAGAGAAGGTGAATGAGGGATGAATAGATAGGGAAAGGAAGGGAAGAAATGAAAGAAAATGAAAAAAACAAACAAACAAAGAACTTAACAACTAAATAACTGTASAAGTAAAAGGGGGGTTATACACAAAAAAATGATAGTAAGAGGTGAGTGGAATAAATAAGTGGGAAAGAGTTGGAGAACAAAAGGAGACAAAAGGATGGATAAATGCGAGAAGGAGAAAATGAGTAAAAGAGTTAGCATCGGTAGTTATAAAGGGATAAAAAATAGAAACATGAAAAAGCGAGTTTTTCTGTGAGTTTTTTGACCAAGAGGGGATTGGGAATTAAATTCGTCACTTAAAATTCGGCGTCTAAATCAAATGCCGTATTTAATCATTTAAGTCGACTAAAATAGGAGTTGTATTCGGCACATGTGAAGTTCGGCGTATAGTGCGGGCCTTAAAGGATAGAAATCGACTTTTCTAATGGTTGCATTTTTTTCAATACATCAAACTATCCAATTTATTTGATTATAGTCCCTTAACACGGCACTGGTTTTGAACACTCCATTCAAATCCGCCTTCCTTTTATTGAATTTCTGTCTCACTTTTAACACATACACCTAATTACAAAAACATTGTCCTGAGATTTAGAGGTTTAGGAACTTTAAGAATATATTAAAAGACAAAAAATGACCACCGAAGGTGAACACTTTCCTTTGTAATATAATTAATTCCTAAACAGCAAAAGTTCTTTTTCTTGGACAATATTTCTGTAGCTAGGTGTATACAAATACTGCATSATTAGAGTAAACGGAATTTTTCCGTGAGAAAATTGGGACTGGGATCATGGAGTTCCTTKCTGAAAACAAGTGCCTTGCCAATGGTCCTAATTGTCCTATTTCATTATGACATCACAGTATGTTTATATCGGAAAACGATGGTCAAAAACAGCGGAAATTTGGACCCATTTATATTGTCGACTAAAGTAGAACTTCAGTGAATCRTGTTTTGATATATATCATGTATAAATGATTGCTCATGTACATTTTATTTGAAATGCAGTCACTCTGATCCCTTCTGGCGACCATAATCCTTAGCGTTAAAACAATAGAATGTTTTGATGTGACGTCATWATGAACTAGGGCAATTGAACAAGACCGGCGGTTATGAGCCAGGAAAGAACAATAGATACCAATGAGGAATTCTTTGTTAAAGCTCCTCCAAAATGGCCATACATACAATACATACAATAACGCCGACGGAATCTCTAGAGAGTAGAGAGAGCAATGAACTTTCATTAAGAAATTTAGCATGGARTTTGACACTCATGAAGATGCGTGCGTGGGTTCATTAGCGATTTCAAACTTTCATTAGCGTTTGTGAGCAATCATTGAACAAAAGCACCGCCTGCTTACGTAGAAATTGGTTTCAGTTGCCGGTTGCTGGACTATTTTGATTGGAAAACTGGTGTTATTTGGCTAGAGTTTTCCAAAAACACAAATTAACAAAAGACGGATTTCCTGAGAAGCGCATTAGAGTGGACGTAATTGTCACCTTGAAATATCTCCACTTGCATTATTTCGTTCTATTTGTAAGGAAAAATGACGGAAGGAACCACCGCGGAGCCATAAATTCACATGATGGGCACATGACGAAAGAAGTATTGCATAATACCTCAGGTGTTTGTAACCATCTCTCTGGAGGACTTCTCTTTTGTTGTTATTTTAACCAATGAAATACGCTATAATCCTGAAAAAAAACGTTGAAAATATTTTACCATTTAGGATAGTTGTTCTACATAATCCTCGTACCAACCCCTCCAATCCCCTCCTCTCCCCTAAGACAATGTTGTTAAGCATTCGGCAAATATGTGTGATCTAAGAAACACAAGTTTGAGTGATGGGAGATGGGGGAAAGTAAGCAATTATAAATTTTCTGTCCAATATTCTCAACATTTTACGACTGTACACAAACATTTTCAACTCTTTTTTAGAAGTAAAAAAAGTATATTAATATAGCATAGTATTTTAATAATTTAGTTATTTCCTGTTATCTAAATTTCAGTTGGTCACAAAAATGATACAACCGAAGAAGGATATCGATCTATTATATACTTGACATATCCAACATTTGTTGGCTCTTCAGCCTGAAAACGTTCCAAGACTCACTTATCGCATAATTACTCAAGCACTTAAAGGCCCTTTTAGAAGAAAGAAATGAGCAAATGGTAATCCCACTTCTCCAGAAACTTTAACCGTTCATTTGTTTATAAATGCCAGTCATTGTTAAAGCATGAATCACCAGCTATTGTTAATACATAACGTTTAATACATAAAGTGCCTATGACGCCTATGGCCAAACCATAATGATCCCACCTGCACATGCAGTCAGAGAATATATGTTGAAAATTGCCACCAACGCACACTATTTATCCACACGCAAGACCAAGAGGTGGAGCAGAGCCATCTAAAGTAAAAACTATTTTCAAATTGATAAAAAAGGTACGTATACATGAGTAATGCATGCATATGATTTTAAATTGAGTTAAATTTAAATCAAATAAATCAATCTTAACGTAAGTGAACAAAATTCACAGTTTATTCTAACTTAAAATTATTATTGGCAGACAGTAATGATTCATTTGAACACAAAAATTAAGTTATATGTCAAGGGACAACTATGAAAATATTCAAAATATCCGTCATGATAACCAATGGCTGAAATTCATGTGTGTGAAAAAAAAATATCCTTATGTTTTCATTTTATTTAGTAAAAGCATAACCGTTATGAAAAGCGTAGCAATTTTTCCTGTAATCTTTGATGAATTAAATGTTAAATATCGGGAACTGAACAAATCACTGGCATTTCATTTTTATTCATTTTTTTTTTCTAATCATTCCGTGAAATATTAACT